TGCGTGATGACATCTGTCTATGTTGCATCAACATTGCCAACTGAGTCCGAAGGGAGTCGAATCATCTGCTTCATCACTTTCAGCATTCTACCCTTTCCAATGCCGAAGTATGCCCCAAAAATGTTGTGTCCCGGCAGCGCATGTCCTGCCAACTTCGATGGAATAATATCTCCCAACTTGTCTACAGTGGCAGGAATATCAATAACAGTTCGCTCTTTGATGGGCGACTCCGTGGTCTTTGGCGTTCTAGGTCCTTCAAAAGTAGTACGTATCCACGTATGTGTTATCCGCCAGGACATACCTGTTTTCATTAGCAGCAATTTGAATCGCTTGCTGTACTAGGATGTTGTCTGCTTCTTCATGTGTTGTGGACATATCTTCCTTTGGCATGACATAGCTGCCTGGTATCACTTCAACAGATACCTCATCTTGACCAGTAATGACCAGCTTGTGCTTTTGGCTATTTCTGAACACCTCGTCATTCTGCAGAATCGCGCATATATGATGTCGATCAACTGTAGTCTGTTGTCAGTAACAGTGAGAGATAGTTTCTTGGAGGGCAGAAGTGATGTGGGACTCAGTTAGATGACTTTCAATCCATCATGACCTAGATATCCTGGTGGCACACCAAGCAAACATCGTCAGATTTTAATCTAGAATAGAGCACAACCATCAATGACTGTACAAGGTTGTTCAAGTGCCTCATGACTGGCTGGCATCTCAACCTTTGTCAATTTATTTAAGTTCGGCTTTGACTTGGGAGTGCACATGTTTCCAGAATCATCAAAGAGTGCTGTTGGGACTGGGAAAAGCTTCCATGACAAAATGTCCTTGACATTGACATCTCATGAAATTGCCTGCAGGATTCCTATTACTCTGGAGTAGATCAACTTGGTGTCATAGACCTTCAGACCCCCAATATTAATTGACTTCTTCATGGCTGCAATGGTTTGTACTTATTCTTCTGCAATTGCAGTACAGGCCACCATCAGGAGTATTGTCGTACTGTTTTGTAGATGCAGTGCAGATGTACATGAATGTACGATGTCTGATAAAAGGTACAGTCAGCTACGTGCGAGTAAACATGACTACCGTTTTTAATGGAGCCGGTCTTGTGTACTCTTGCTTGAAGCTGTTAAACATAGGTACAATTGAAGGTGTTCAGAGGGAGGGAGTTCCAGAGTCTTATTGTATCCGGGAAGAAGCTCCCCTGGTAGACAAGCAATCGGGAAAAAAGGAACAATGATCTTCTTGGAATGCCCTCTGTGCAGGGATAATGATGGAGTGAGGAAAGTGTGTGGGATGTCTATCAGCGAGTTGTTGATGCGATATATCATCACCACCTTGGCCTGTGCCCTGTGTTCTTGTTATGATGGCCACTTGAGCTGGTTCAGCATGGCTGCTACGCTGCTTGTCCTGCGGTTGTCACTGAAGATGAAGCGAACATATAGCGCCGTTGAACCATTTCAAGCTTATTGATGTGTGCTAATTGCTTGCGTGTGAGGGTCTTATATATAATGCTAGCATATCCCATGATTGGTTGAAAGAGAGTATTGTAGCACAGTTCTTTAACCTTTCCAGGACATGGTCGGATATTTCTTTGAAGAAAGGCACAGGTGGAGTTGGCCTTTTTGGTGATAATGTTGATATGTTGATTCCAGCTGAGATTCTTCTGCAACTCAACACCTAGATACTTTGCTGTATTTTTGTCAGCTAGGGTCTGTCCGTGGATGGAGAAGGATTTGATGATGGGTTTGCGTATATTGGTGACATGGAGAACCTGACATTTCTGTGGGATGAATTCCATCAACCAATCACGCTCCCAGCGTTGCAGTAAGTCAATATCCTTTTGGAAACGTTAGGCATCTTCCTCGATCTGTCTTGATGTTGCTGTATAGCATGCCATCATCAGCGAAGAGCCTGACTGTTGAGTTTGGGGAGAGGTACTCTGGCAGTTCATTGAAGAAGGGGAGACACAGCATCGGGCCGATAGCTCTGTTTGGGGACGCCAGATGTTACTTGGCTGGTGTTGGAGATGAATCCTTCCAGTACCATCTGTTGGGTCCTGTTGGGACCTTGTCAAATGCTTTGGAGAAATCAAGGAGTGCCATGTCTAATTTTTCTCTGTAATCGGTGGCTTTGGCGAGGTCCCGGCCAGCAAGGACAAGTTGGGAGACGCAGGATAGCTTCTTTCGAAAGCCACGTTGTGCATCAGACAGGACGTTGTAGTCTTCAGGTGGGCCATGATGCTGATATAGCTTAGAACGATGTGCTCCAGTCCTTTACAGGTCGCTGGCGTAAGAGAGACAGGTCTGTAGTTCTCTGGGTTGCTAATACGGTCACCTTTCTTGAAGATGGGAGCAATATTAGCCATCTTCTATTTATCAGGTATGACACTCTGGTTAAGGGAGGCATGGAAGAATATAGTGAACACAGGTGTCAGTTCAGTGGCAAGTCCCTTCAGAAGTCTGGCTGGGATTTGGTCAGGACCAGTGGTTTTATGAACATCAACCTCAGACAGGATCTTCAGAACCCCTGGTGGAGAGATAGTAATGTGATCCATGGTTGGGTATAAGCTTGGCCCTTTGTCTCTCAGACTAGTCATATCTTCATTGCAGTTGAAGATGGATGAAAATTGATAACGTAGGATGTGCGCCTTTGAGAGGCTGTCTGAGTAAGTCATTCCATTCGATGATTTCAATGGAGCTAGACCTGAAGGATCGCATCGCTTGCTGTTTGTGAAACACCAGAAATGCTTTGGGTTACAGTGTTTGGGCTGACAATGTCTGTCAGGTATATGTTGTGAGCTTTCTTGGAAATTGTGTCATAGAATCCATCAGGTGATTTCTGTTGAAACTCATGCATCTGTCTGGTACCGTTGACATCTGCTTTATCCACATTCACTGACGCTGGAGCAATGCTAGTCTTTACAAAAATCCTATCAATGGAACAATAATGTGTACAGTAGAACCACTTCTCACTGACTTGATGAAAAATTAATTCCTTTGTAGGCCTTTTTGTTTCTTTACATGTATCTAAATTTAGACCAAAAAAGATGAAAGATAAATGCATCACAATCGTAATTGTTCCAAACAAAGCATATAATGTGTTTTAACGTGACGTAGATCTACAAAAATGGCATTTGGCTGGCACACATATTTTATGCAATATTAATATGTTTATAGAGGGCGCTATTTCAAAATATGCAAATTACCTTGTCATAGTGATAGTCCTAAAGAGATACAGACATTCGGCTGCCCAGAATTGTAGAAAAATCCATATTATATATTTATTATACATTTTTAGAGGAAAATCATGTACTTTGGCGGCCATTTTGTATTACGTCATAATATCTCAAATTACTCAAGGCTGACAGAGTGTCAGCAATCGGATTCTTCAAATAGAAGGTTTAGGCAATCATAATCCATTGAAAAAAAACTATAGACCCTAAAACAAGGTTAGGCCAATAATCTGGATTTGGCTGCCGGACTAAATGTGTTTCTTGTAAGTTTACGGATGACTCCAAATGAGAGGATATGCCTTCATGCACACGCCCAAGTCAAATGTTTTTATGACATAGTCTTGGCCAACCTCGCGGCTTGCTTCTTCTGCAGCTCTCAGGCACTCTTGGATTGTATCGAATTCTGTTATGGGATATTTTATTACAGGATAGTAATCTGTGGTAGTCACATTTGAAGGCACCTCCCATGTAGTTGTTTAGTTAGTTTAGTTTTGTAAGCATTTAAATGTACGCATTATTTTTATTTGACGAGTTTGTTCTTTTAGGACATACTCATAAACTACTCATGAGGGACCTTAAATCCACAAGCCTTGCTTTCAACCAAGGTCGCCTCATCTTTCTATTGTAACGCCATATTCTGTTCACTCTTTTATATTCATGTCATATTTGTAATGTGTGTTATGAAAGAAAGATAAATAAACTTGAAACTTGAAACTTTACTATGACAAATCCAGCCCAACCTGGAAGCTCTTGACCTGTCTCTCTACTACTTTTTCGGCATACACGCAATATCATTTCTGGCACATTGTTTGAATGCTTTATGTCGGTTGACATAGCAAGGTGGAAGAGGACCTTCATTTTTCATTAGCCAACGAACGTTCTTTGGTGCATGTACGTGCTTCTGAGGGTACTGTGCTATTTGAAGATTCAACTGTCTCATTGTTAGAAATCTCCTGCAGCATAATCCCATGGGCTGTGTGGACAGAGCCAGAACCACTTAAGCTTGAAATGTATTGGTTGAAATCGTCAACGTCTGGATGGAAGACTGATGGCTCCACGGGATGGCGGACTACCTGTCTAGATAGAATACCGAAAGTCTACTGTAGCGCCTGTGCTATGGCAGATTCAAGCTCAAGTGAAAATTAATAGCTTTCTGAATGAACAAGGCGATTCACGGATGTGATCAATTGAGCACTGCGTAAGAGATGTCTCAAAGTCATCCATACCAGAATATGCTTGGACATTTTCCACTTTCCATTTGTGGCTGCCCTACATATATCTTGTCCAAGAGATATGACAAGTCTAGTCACTCTTTGTTATGGTCGAGATGGATTTCCACTCAACAAATGGTTCAGAAACTTCTCTAGCTCAGTGGGAATCTGGTCATCTATACAGGCAATGGCTTCTGCGGTTGAGGGCCAGGTATTTCATCATCTACAATTCAATGCTTTCTTGTGGGCTACTTCCATTGTTCTCTGTTTTAGCTACTTCATCGTACTTGCCACTTCTCCATTAATCTTGTTTTTAGTTCGCCACATATTTCTTCCGACAGTTCTTGTGACATCTTGCTTCTGCAGCAAACAGATCAACTTCCAGAATTCTCAACGGTAGGTCTTCATCACCAACTCTCTTTGCAACATCTACAACATTTTGCCACCAACCAAAATCTAACGTTGGTGTACTTTCTGTTGTCCAAGACCTTTTCACTTTGATTGATTTTGGGCCTTCCTTTTTACAAAAGATATAATCAGGATTGAAGATGACTTCATCAATTGACGATCTGGGTGGACGGGATGTTGAAGGTTCTGTGGCATCAGATAAGATCCCTGACAGTCGATTGAGATTATTGGTAAAAAGTTGGTAGCACTCCCGATGATAACCGTGCACATCTGACATGTCTTCAAGAATGAGGATGCATGCCTCTTCCGTTACTCATTGTGTCAAGTTAGTTGAAATTCGTGAAATTGTACCCCGTATACGTTTGATCATTCATTTTGTATAAACAACAAAACTATATTATAGCATATAATGGGATTAATGACCAACTGCTGAATAAGTTGGCTTTGTCTGATACCCCCTCTTCAGGCTGATACTATAAAAGGAAACACTGATGTTTGTGGTAATAATTTGATATAGTTTGATGCTAACAGGCTAGCCCCAATAGTAATTGAAATACTGCTTGTTGAGCTTTTGTTTTTTTAAACAGGAACTTTAATTGAATGTACATTATATATACAGAATGTATTAATCGTAATATGCGGGGGGAGGGGGGGGGGGGGTGGGGATACGAGTTGACTGATACTGAACAAAATTTGCGGGAAACATCAGATAAAATATCAATGAATAATATTACACCAAATTAGGGGGCTAGAAAACTTATTTCATGATAATAGCAGACAAAATTCAACTTTTGATTTCGAAAGGTTTTTGAGACAGAAATTTGCATATCAAAATATATGCAAATTTATGACGTCATTAATAATTGAAGACAATAAAATAAAATAAAATCATTTTGTCTACCTATTGTGGTATAGTTGACGAAGATTGTCAATAAATTTGGTGGAGATTAGAGTTATATCTGCTGAGAAACAGGGTAAAACGTAAGCACATAATTCACAAACCCTAAGAAAGTGTGCAAAACACGAAAAACTGACATTTTTACATATCTTCAAATAAGGAGCAAAAAAAAAACAGTGTCCAAATGAATTTTTTTCTTGGAAACATCTTTTTTCTGATATTATGGATCCCAATGAACAAAATGACACCCAACAAGTAGGATCATGGGGGGGGGGTACGGTAGCCCCCTCTGGCCCACGGACTATAAAGGTAAATCCCATAACCGGTTTTAACAAAATTGAACGCCTTGAAGCTAAACTCAGGCTTTTTTTGGAAATTGTGTATAATATTTTATTGGTATTATGACATATTTAGGTCTGTCACTGTCCTTTCATATCTTGTTGACCCCTTAGCGGTTGGTTCTTCCAAAGGTTGTGTAACAGCTTTAAAATAATACCTGTGCCAAGGCTGCTATGTTATTTTACCCTATCGTCATTCAGTTTGATTTCCGAGATTTCGCAACTTTCTCCTACGATAGATTAAATCATCTTCATCTTTTTTTTTAATTATTGACAGGTAACAAAGTCTATAACGAGTATTGTGAGCAATATAGCTCAGGTAGAATCAGAGGAACTTGAAGCCGCAGAAGAGGAAGGTGGGGCAATAAGTAAATTAGTCCTGGCTTTTGAGGAACAAATCAGCCGTGTTGAGGTTGCCGATGGTGGGCTGCTCAACATTCAGCAGCCAAATGTTGCCGTACAGGTGATTTTACATGTATATCATAGGCTATGAAAAAGTAATTTGATTTAGAAATATAAGAATTTCATGTCTAAGTTATATAATTGTTTGCATGGATTTTCTAAATAAAAGAATTAGAAAAACCTGACACTGCCATTCATCCATTGTGGTCTCATTCAATCTGGTGTCCAACAAGGCGCGACAATCCCACCATTTTTCTTTGTAGTTTAAAAAAGATCTACCAAACAACATCATTATTTGTGCATATATGTGTACGGGATACGTCACATTTTGAATTTGGTGGTGCCTTAAGGCCCGGTCCCACTGCACTTACGGATGCAAAGAGGATGTAAAACGTAAATAAAATCTTGCCATCCGTTGGAAAACGCTATGCATCCGTTGTGTACTCATTGCATACGTGTTTCATACGCTCTTTCCATCGAGCATCCGTCCACTGTGATTTCATCCGCGCAAAAAGTTTTGAGCTGCACAAAACTTTTAGAACGGATGAACTTCCGCCGTGTACGATGTAAATCCGCGACAAATACGATCAACAAACGTTTTATGTCTGTTATCATCCGTTTAACGTCCGCTGTATCCTCTCTGCATCCTCTGGGCATCCTCGCAACTCACATCCGCTGCAGCTGAAAACGGAAATAGGGAGGAAAGATAAGGTACATGGAACGTCTATACATCGTTAGTAGCACGGAAATAGAAAGGATGTAAGCGTATGCATCTCGTATATAAAGTATTCAAAGCTGTCATCCACTTCCATCCGCTTTCATCCGCTAGGCTTCCGATGAACATCCGTTTAACATCCCCGCTACATACTACCCACGTCCGTTATTTTCCGTTTTGTTTTCGCAAATTTTCGCAAATTTTGTCCATTTCTAGAGCGGATGGAAACGGATGGAGTCACCCCCGAAATTTTGCTCATCCGCTGTGTCCTTTATGCATACGTTTTGCGTCCATCGGCCAGTGGGACCAGGCCATAACTTGGACGTCTGTGCACGGTGCTAATCGCCTCATTTTCAAGCATCATCAATAATGATAATAATAATAACAACAATTTAATAGTAACATTGATATTGTTGTTAATAAATAATAATAATCATAAATACAGTAATAATGATAGTAATATTTAAAAACATGTTGATGATGAAAATGATAATAACAATTATAATAATTGAAGTTCTAATTCATATAACAGGTTCAGAGTGTACTTGCTGACGACTTAATGGGCGGTCTTGTGCTTACGCTAGCTGGATCCAGTCTTTCAGACCTGTCCAAGTCCAATATTACCATCAGTGCTCCAACCCAAGATGACCGCGATGACATCATTGCTACCAGACCAGACGTCATTGCTCAGGTCAACATTCCACCTTCAGTTTCATCCGTCATTTCGTCCACGCCCCCACTCTCAGGATCGCCGTCGAATGGCAGTGGTGAATACGTCCGGGTCAACTTCAATGTATTTTCAACTTCAGCTCTGTTCATTTCTAAATCATTGCGCACAATCAGTGCAGATAATGAAGGCTTCAATCGATCGGCTAACTCGCCCGTGATTTCTCTCAGTATTGGTCAAGGGAAAGTAGCAGCCCTGACCGAATTCATCAATTTTACCTTCAGTACAATAATGGTAAGACCTTTAACATAAAATGGCAGACTAAAGTTTATCCATATATTATACGTATTTGTAATCTGCCTTTAGCAGTATTTATGGATAATTAAAGTTGTAGTAGACATACATATATAGGGAAAATTTAAACATTATATGTTTTTAAATCTATTTTTAACTCCTGTGTTTGATTTCCTTAATGATAAATGGGCTTTTAAATTAAACCAATAAACATTATCATTCGTTCTCCTTCTTCTTCTTTTTCTTCTTTTTCCAAGGGAAGAATTCCTTAAAGGACTTGAAGATTTCGCACTGTGTGTGCTTGTGAGGAGCCTGTGTGAGCCTGCTGGCCAGGATCCTTGTGCATGTATATACATGGTACAAGTAAAAAAAAAAAAAAAAAACACTTTTAATCCCGTGAGGTCAGTTAGGGTGCATCTTCCCCAGTGAGGACTCAAATGCCTCAAGGGAGAGTGAGCAGGCTGGATCTACTGGAAGGTTGCTCCAGTCCTTGGTAGTTCTGAGGAAGAAGGAGCTGATGTAGGCTTTCCTTTCATGCTTTATTTAACACATTTTATTGTTCTATTCATTTTTTGCTGTTTTTGTTGTTGTTGTCTAGTCTGGATACGTGAATCCCATGTGTTCATTCTGGGATGAGGAGCAGGAAGATTGGTCCCAAGATGGGTGTGTTCTTGTTTCTGGAATCACATCATCTGATGAGCGCTACGATGAGGGGAGAGTGCGCTGTGCGTGTGATCATCTTACCAACTTCGCTGTTATAATGGTCAGTGAAAAGCAATTAGGCATTATTATATACATTAGCCCCATTTAACCACTCCCCGGTCAACTATAACAAGACTAACTAAACGCAGTAGGTTACTAGAGCTATAGCTTGATCATCCTCTCGACGACCCAGGGGGTTAATAGTTGTTAATTCCTACGGATTAAAGAAAAGGTTGAGTTCTGGGAAGAGGTGAAAACTAATTTGTGAGCGTTATTATTGTTATTATGCAAGTGTGGAAGAATATCAGATAAAAAATGTTCCCTGAAAAGCATGGCTCTTCAAATGCCTTAATATTCTAAAAATTTGAATGTGCGGACTCTTGTGTAAAAGGTAGTAAAGTGATATTCTTTTCTTTTTCCATCAGTAATATGAAGTTCCGCCACTTTATTTTAAAATAAACCCCCCATATCTCAGTTTTCAATTAACGACATTATGGGCAAATAATCACTTTCCTTCGAGCTTTCAAAGAAAATGTTTTTTTCATGTTACAGGATATCCATGGAAAGGAGGATTCAGTAATCAAGGAAAACAAAATCCTGACTTACATCGGATGCTGTATATCTATCTTCAGTCTTCTTGTCACATTGGCAACCTACCTGTGGAACAAGTGAGCTCATTGGAAAAAATATGCAATTATTAATGTAATACAAAGAAGACCGAATATGTAATTATTCTCTGGTCGTTTTATCTTCGATTCTAGTTGGTAGCTGTTGAACAAAAAATAGTGAAATAAACTGTGAAAGAGGTGCATTTATAGAATTTAGTAAATAATCATGCAAATGTAAATACCCCCTCTCTTTTTATAAAATTATCTCTTAATCAATTGATTTGTGAAGTACGTGTACACCTGCAGCACATTTCTCTTCGGTATTACTTCTGTTTGAACCAGCAGGGCTGTTGAGAACTACTATCACCAATGTACATTTCGTGATAGAAAGGGGAAGAGGAGGGGTGAGGAAGAAGAGGACGAGGGGAAGAGGGGAACAAGAAGAAGAAGAAGAGAAACTGCCAAAATATTAGTTGTTTAGTCATTAATATAGGGGTGGTGTGACGAGGTTCATATAAGTTACATAGGTTCATATCATATCGATATATTGATATTCTATCACCTTCATAGATCACACCCTCTGCCTCATGGTGTACCGTCTGCATATAATAGAAAGCATATTTATTTCGATCACCTTTGGGGTACATATATTTCTCATTTGACATCGTCGTGACTACTTACACCAAGATTGATTTTTATACAAAACGCGTGGCCATTCCGAGGGTTTGTGCCCAGTAATAGAAGAGATACATGTTTATAAGTAAAGCAAAATCACGTAATCTCCTTCATTTCACAAACATTTTCTCCGTTGATTTTCTTTCTAGTTCTTGTTGTTTGACCTTCATATTCTTCTGTGCTGCTGATTAAGTAATGGTAAGCCTGTACGTGCATAGTAGAGTATTGCTTCGACGCGTTCCTTATCCCATTTTAATGTTACAATCTTGATAGGGATTTGAGGACCAAACAGACTAACCAGATCTTCATCTGTCTGTGCCTGACCTTGCTGTGTCTCTACACGACGTTTGTCATCATGATCTCTCTGGATTCTACCAGAGATTATCGTGACGTCCAAGCTGGACCCTGTGGGTTCCTGACGGCCCTACTTCACTACTTCGTTTTGTCCTCCATTGCATGGATGGGTGTGGAAGGGTACAATACCTACCTCATAATTGTGAAGATCTCTAACACCTACATCCAGAATTTCATGATCAAGGCTTGCTTAGCTGCATGGGGTACGATATTTTTTCTTTATATCTTTTTACTGAATTGTTAATGAATTGTCTGTATGTTTGTACATACGAATAGAATTTCTCTAGATCAGAATCCTTCGACCGACTTCTTTAAACTTATACATGTAGGTACTGAAAGTATTCATAAAAAAATAAGTTGCTGCGATCACCCGGCATCAATCAAGGGAAATGTTAATTTTATTCTGTTTTTAACGAACAAAATAATTATAAAACCTGGCTAGATATTATAGTTATTTAGCCATGCTAACTAAATGGAGAATAATTATGGAAAAGTCACATTAGATGGACTATCATATGGTCCAACAGTGCACATGAATTCGTCATTTTAGCCATTTACGTGTATTTATTACATTATTATATCAATACGCAAAATCGTCGCGGGGGTACAAAACGGTTTATAAAAAAACGTCTTTCCTCGACCGCGTCCGCCTTGGCCGTGGCGCGGGAACGGCGACACAATTCCACGAGGCATGTCTCCCGTATCCCGCGTGCCGCGTCGACCCCGTGGTCGCCGTCGATGTCGTTAAACATGGTTCCGGGGTCCTGGGGAGGACGAGCGGACGAGGGCACGGCCGGCGTTGTGCGTGCAAGGAGACGACGAACTCGCGAGAGTGCATGAGGCAACACGGCGTGCACCCGCCCTCTGTCTAATCACGGGCATGCCAGAGAAATACACAGCATATGATCGACCATCCACTCAAGTAATGTGGCGTAGCAAGTATAAGCTGCAACGGGTTGGGCCCATCCTGTGTTAGGCATCTTGCTTTATATATGCAGCAGCCAAACTGACGAGAACGTAATATGTTGGTTTTAACATGGAGCTATTTTATAGCTCCATGGTTCTACGCTCACGTCACACACACAGTCGAGTTAATTCGTGCGACTGCTATATTGGCACAAACCGTCCGATTTTTGGCGTAAAATCTTTACTTTAAAAATATTTATACAAATTCTGTGAACCATGCCAACATAATCATAGTCCAAGCTTCTGCTTTATTGGTCTTTTCATGAAGACTACACTAAAGTAACAACAATAATAACGCAAATAGATTGTAATTATCGAGACCATATAACTGACGAGAACGTAAATTCAGCGAGCTTACGTAATTTAAAATGCCTCTGCACGCGCAACTCCGGCGGTGTCAGGTCAGTCACGGCGCTCACGCCATGCAATTTACCCTGTGCGGTACTTGCACCACTCTACTGCTGTACCTGTATAGCGTGTCTGTGGATCCTTCAATGTTTCATGTTTGAGCCGTGCAATTGTTGTTTTCTTTTATATCTTTATTGAATGTGATGTGAATGTGAGTACGGTACATGCTATTACAGAAGTGTCCAAGGAATGATAGGCCTACAGGTGGAAGGGATATAAAACAAATATACAATGACTCATTCTCGGAACAATTAAGCTAAAACTATTCGCACTCAGGAACATCAATGGTACTGTTCTCTCTCGGGCCGCGATGGCCCTCGGGAGAATATAATACGATTTGATATTCCTTCGATGCGAGTAGCTTTAGCTAGATCCTCGAGTCACTTCGAGTGTCATTGTATATTTGTATATTTGTATATTATTTCATTGTAGGACTAAATTAACTTGGCAATGTGTGAAAATAACCAAAATGATAATGGGAGTGAAGTGCATGAGAACAATATTCGTATAGATAACGAGAGTGAGGATCCGGGAAAGGGATAGTGAGAATATAATAGGAACGAAGTGACGACAATACTCGTAAATGACGAAAGTGAAAACGAAAGTAAAATGTAAAATATCTGCATCAATTTTAATTACAAATGATTGATTTCACTTTTTTCTTCCAATTTTCAAGTTTTATTACATGATTCAGATTTAAAAAAAAATCAAAATGATACATGGGGCAGCAAACAAAAGGTTGATATTCTAACGAGTAAAATAGTAATGAAAAGAATTATAAAATGATAAAAAGTAGGCCTATACAATAAAGATAATAATATCATCTAGCACAGAAATTATCTTTTTTTAAATATAATAATAATTATAATAAACAAATTATTTAAAAAAAACATTAAAAAATCGATAGCACATATCTATTTACGCCCCCCCCCCCCTCCCACTCTCCCTAGAATGATAGAATCCCGTGGATTTTCCACGGGTCCTGCTAGTTATCATTAAACGGCACTTTGTATGGCATGTGATTTTTTTTATAAAGAAGACTCTAAAACCCAGATGGTATAATAATCGAGATATCCAATTCATTAAAAAAAAGTAATTATAGTGTCGCCATTACCGTGGTACAAACTTTTTAGCTGGACAGCACAACGATAACATGAATAGTCCTATCAAAGAACGGGGAAAGGATAGAGCTAGGCCCATGTCCAATGTAGGCGTATTATGAATGACTATAACAATTGTATTTCCGTATACACGTATGTCATTTCAGGGCTCCCTGCACTTATCGTGGTTCTTACCGGAGCTATTGCTAGAGACTCTTATGCTCAAGATGATCTGTAAGTGGTAACGTTTGAAAGTTTAGCTTGAATATTTGATTGCATAGCATAGGGTAAACCTTATGATCTTCAAATTTCGGATTCAGCAAAATCACGTTTCTGTACTTTGACCTAGTGTTTAAGCATTCGGTATTCGGTATTTTGGCATCTCATGAGTTTAAAAGCCAGTGTGCAATTACCATCTGGAATTGGTATTTAAGTATCACTTTTATGGGTATGTGGTCTAGAAAGGCCACTAATTGAATACAGTCACCACGCATACTAACATCTCAGATAGTTGTTGGTATTGTATGGGATTTGTTCTTCCCAAAATAGATAATGGAATTATTTACAATGACAATTTCTCAGTCAACATTTTTCAAGGACCTTGGAAATTTTGTAAAACTATCGATAAGATAGTCAGTACTGATTGACTTAATTCAGTCTTTTTACAAAATGCATATTTAATATCAATAGATGCTTTCTACAATTATGGGCTCAAATTGCTGGTCTCCTGATTCCCATGTCTATCATCCTCCTCATCAACATTGTCATCTTCATCCTGGTGGTTCGACAATTGCTCTCGTCAGCCAACATCGCTGGTCGGGCGAAAAGAGAGGCTAAGGCAGAACGTCGAGAGACTATCAAACGCGTCCAGAACGCGATCTGCATCTTGCTACTGTTCGGTCTGACCTGGGTCACGGGATATCTTCTTTTAATCCCGTCATTCAGTAAGGTAAAGCCAACTATAGCTTCAAGAATAATTAATGTGTGGTATATCTCTCTCTAAGAGGTAGGCCTATCTTGAGAACTCAGTTATGATAATTACATACACCAGCAATACTTGTTTAGTATCTGGAGAACTTGGAGGAGAATGCCATGTACCTAATTATTATTTCTGAAACATTTGCTCTTAACAGGTGGCTCAGCTAATCTTCATCGTCCTGAACTCTTTCCAAGGATTTTTCATCTTTCTTCTCTACTGCGTCCGGAAGCCTTACATCCGTAGGAAATGGGGTCTTACTTGTTTAGACAAGTTCCTAAAGAAACAAGCAAGCACTTCCAGTGGTGTGGTAAGCTCAGAGGCACTATCCTCGTCAGCTGGCATGGTAAGCAAATTGCGCCCAGGAGCCTCGGGTAATTCCTTGATGCCTTTCAAAGACGACGATCCCGATCCTTTGTGTACGTTCAATCCGACTTATGATGTTAGCCAGGTTGATGAAGGGGTCACACCAACTATGAACAAAGATATCCAAGAGAGAAGTGATGATGTTGCTTCTGCAACAAGTTATGCTGCAGTCAATCTTCCAATGGATTCAACAGATGTCAACAAAGGAAATTAGAGCAGTGGCATAGATGCCAGTGGCACCACTAATTTTGCAAAGGCCAATGGCACAGTTTAGGTTTTGACTCTAGCGATTTATTCATTAATTTTTAAGTATTTTTAAGGTAAGGAGCAGGCTGGGTTTCGGCTGAACCCCCACCCCCTTCCCCGAGGATTTTGCAGTTACCAATATTTCGTCACTACATATTCGGGCTACCAGGTGATTGTTATTTGTGTTCATCTTTATTGTGTTTCAATGACGAAACACAGACGAAACTATATTTGTACAATTTATATGTAGCTTATCAAAGTAGTCATGATCAATTGATTTTGTGTATTAATAAATAATGTGTGGTGTATTACTCAGAGATGAGGTATTTTCATTGTTGAAAAAAAAGTATCAAGATAATGGTACGATGTTTTTTTTTCTCAATCCTTTTTCGTCATAAAATGATGAATACATGTAAATTGAGAATGGAAATTAGACAATAATGGGTGCCCATCAATTGTTATTTGTTATCGTCTTTATTATATTTCAATCGCGAAGTTATATCTTTACATTAAAATATATTGTAGCTTATCGAAGTATTCATGATCAGATGATTTATTTTGTAAATAATACTTTGTGGTGTATTAACTCAAAGAAGAGGTCTTTTCTTTGTTGAAAAAAGTATAATGATGATGGTACGAAGGTTTTTTAAAATCATTTTATCCTTTTTATTCATGACATGATAAATCTATGTATAGTGAGAATGGAAATTAGATGGTTGCCTACCAATTATTACTTGTTATCATCTTTATTATATTTCAATGGCGAAGTTATATCTTTACATTTATATATTTTGTAACTTTTCGATATATTCATCATCATTTGATTTGTTTTATAAATAATACTTTGTGGTGTATTAACTCAGAGAAGGATCTTTTCGTTGGAAAAAGTATGATGATGAAGATACGAAGGGGGTTTCAATTCATATTAATAATTCATGACAGTCATGATATGATAGATGAATCTTTTTTGAAAATAAAAATTAAATAATAATGGTTGAATTTATTAAATCCAAGGTCCCTTTTGCTGTCCTCTTTTCATATTTTTTTTGCAACCGCCGGGAATCGAACCGTGTCACTGGCTAAGAACGACAATGCCTTAATGACTAGACCACACAGAACCCCCCCCCCCCCCATCCCGTTCCCCGAGTATTTTGCAATTATCAATATTTCGTCACCACATATGTGGGCAACCAGGTGATTGTTATTTGTTGTCATCTTTATTATGTTTCAATGACGAAACACAGACGAAACTATATCGGTACAATTTATATGTACATGTAGCTTATCGAAGTATTCATGATCAAATTATTTATATTTTGTTGATAATACTTTGTGGTGTATTACTCAGAGAAGGATCTTTTCGTTGTTAAAAAAAAGTAAGATGATGACGATACGGTGTTTTTTCTTCTTCATTTCATGTTTAGTCATAACATGATAAATATATGTACATTGAGAATTGAAATTGGATAACAATGGTTGCCTACCAATTGTTATTTGTTATCATCTTTATTATATTTCAATGGCGAAGTTATATCTTTACATTTATATATTCTGTAGCTTATCGAAGCATTCATGATCAGATGGTTTTTTTAAATAAATAATACTTTGTGGTGTATTACTCAGAGAGGGTCATTTCGTGTTGAACGAAGACATGATAATGACGGTACGAAGGCGAAGTTGTATCGTTACATTTATATATATTATAGCTTTTTGAAGCATTCATGATCAGATGGTTTTTTAAATAAATAATACTTTGTGGTGTCTTACTCTAAGAACGGTCAATTTGTTGTTGAAAAAAAGTATGATGATATCGGTAACAAGGGTTTTTCTATTAATTTTAATCATTTTTAGTCATGAAATGATAAATATATGTATATTGAGAATAGAAAATAGATAATAATGATTGCGTAGATTAAATCAAAGGTCCTTATTGTTATCCTCCTTTTTGATTATTTTTTTCAAAGGTTGAACAAATTTGTCTCCGCCGGGAATTGAACCGTTTCACTGGCAGAGAACGCCATTGCCTTAACTACTAGACCACAGAGACGGGCCAGTGGCTTTGGCGACACCAGGTTTAATTGACAAATTTGGCAAATTTTGTGGAAAAATATATATACATGTTTATATAATAAACCTGCGGTGGTTGACAAAAAAAGACAAGTGAAGAAGAAATAATGTAAAATCCGTAGGAGATATACAGATACAAAATATACTAATTTTGGGCTTTAAACCTTTGTCAAGTTCTAGTGACAGACACATACAGTGTTTAGAGTTATATTGTTTTTCCATGATTATACTGTCTATATAGTTTTACATGCTTATTAATTCAAAGTATCTTATAGGCGAAATTGATATCACCATATTTTACTCAAAAAATGTAATTTAGTGTAGATTATTTTGATTGTATTCATAACCGATGTTGTTAAAGCATAAACTTCATTGTTCATGGTATCCCTGAAGAAAGAAGACACAATTATTGAGTAATTTACGAATATAAAATTGGGTTTCTATTTAAGGGGTACCTGTATTTTAGCTCGTTTCAATGTTGGATTGAGTAATTAATTTCTGATACTGCTGATACAAAGCATGATAAATCATAACATTACAGTAACTATCGTTTGTATAATCGTGCGCAAAAGAAATGTACAAAAGCAAGCTCAGTAATAAAGTAAATGGTGGAGTGGAAAGTTGGTATTCACATAGTTTTTATTAATCGTTTTGAATAAATTATTCCATATTCATATTTCCATTGCGATTTAAAAACGTATACAAACTGCAATTATTCTTTTCGAAGCTGCCAAAGGTAGCACAAGATTAATTAACAAGAGAACCCCAAATCCACGAGATCAATAGTATATTCTAAAACCAACAACACAAGCCACAATTTAAAATGACAGATGACTAAATTTGTATGCAGTTGACACATGACTGACTTTGAATCACAAAGTATCTTTAATTCATCTCGTTTTCTGAACACGGGAAACACTAAACATATTAGGACCTTTATTATAGAGGAGAGGAATACCGACACATAGCTGGGGGATGATCATTTCAGCGCTGCATACTACAGAAAAACCTCAGTTTTGTTTAAACATACCCTTTCGCGGAAAATAGCCCCTTTTGCAAAACTACCCCCAAAGCCCTAAGGGTAGCAAGTACCCTGAGCATGTCACTCAGAAAAAGTACCCAAGTCAAACTACCTCTCAGTTTAGTGCTCAGATAGGTTTCTATTTAATATGAATAATTGGATTAATGCTTTTTTGGTGACTAGTCCAGAAGTATTAGTCTAGGAGTAAGTGTCCCTTTTTGTTTCTTTTCTTTTAACTTGTCCGACATTTGAAAGCCTAGGGGATAGCCCTGACACTCACTTAACAAATTGGAATTTCGCTTACAGACGTGTGTAACACTCTATTACAAAAAAAAAGATATATATATATACAAAATGTCCACCCTCTGTAAATACTGCACATTCACAATCATGATAATTATTCTTGCAATTGTAAACAGGTCCATATATTGCGAGTGGATAATGTCAGGGGCAGACTGGCCGTCTGGAATTTAGGGAGGTTTCCTCACGGGCCGCTCGAAATTTGGCATGAGGAACCGTCAATTTATACTCTTTTGTTGATTAAAAGGTTATATAAGAATTGTAATACCTTGATTTACCCCCCCCCCCCCCACACACACACACACATTGTGATGTTAAGAAATGGTGGAAGTTAACCCATTGCCTGCTGGAACCTGGTGGTCCCTGTGTTAAGCCTATGGGAATTAGATAATTCAGTAGCCAACGGGTTAAATTAATTTGTACACTGCGTGAATCATAACGCAGAACTCATACTTAAGCAAGGTTTTTAGTCAATAATGGTGTGCTCTCAAAAGCCAGCAAGAATTCCTCAACAACAACAAAATTAAATAGATAGCGCTTAATTGCCAGAAACGATGTATTGTAATCAAAAGTACTTCAATCAATTTGTTCTGGCAAATTCGTGATAAAAAAAACAGAACATGAGATCTTCGTAAACTTGGTGTAGGAAGGATACTGTAAGGCATATCATAAAACCACGTGGACAAATAAACCAACAGTATGTACATTATACTAGTGCTTTTATTTTCAGTCCCAGTTCCGGGGCCCAGTCCGCCTCCTGCTCAAACAATGGCCAAACAAAACATAACTCGCTCGGATCCACACCCACAAACGCACACACACACATACACATGCACACACACACACACACACACACACACACTGTTTCTCCTTTAATTCTTACTCTCTCCATATTTTATTTCTCATCGAGTCTCAATTATCTTAATCTTTCAAAATCTTTGAGGTTTCCTTTCCCAATCTCTTTTCATTTTTCGGTGTACCTCTTGCACAGTTTTCTGTCCATTTTCCAAATGAAAAAATCCAGAAAGAATCAGGTGGAAAGACAACATACAGCAATAACAATTAATTAACTATCAAATGTCAATATTTAATATCAACACACATATTTACAAGTTCAGGTGATAACATATGAATATATTAAATTTAGTATAATGTATCATAAAACATTGATTTTGTACGGCCCAGGCAGTCATTTCACTGAGGGAATAGTTAAAGGATCACGATAAAAATGTATGGGAATCGTGGAGGGCAGGGTGTCAGAGAGAGAGAGAGAAGAAAAAAGATAGAGAGAGACAGAGAGGTGATGAAAGACAAGAGGGTTAATTGCGTGTGTCTGTCAGAGATCGAGAGGGCAAAGTTTGTTTGTTTTCGCTTAGACCGTATAGGAGCATGATTTACAGCCATGGCAGTCCATAGATGGACATCTAAATGACAGGACCCGTTGTTCACAAAATAAGCTTCTACTTGAGAATTTTAAAATTTAACTTTGGCCTGTAATTAATTAGTTCCTATAAAAATAACCAAAGCGATTTGAGAGATATAGTATTAAGACACACGCAAGAGAATGCGCTCTGTCAATTTACGGAGCTCCAAAAGTTTCAGCCCGCCTACAAATATTATGGGAGGGGCCTGTATAGATGCTCCATGAATTTGACCTCTGAACAACACAACTTCCGGTGAAGTAACTAACACTACTCTACTACACCTAGCTATGATAACGACAATTAAAGATAAAGGTGAGTTCTGGTAATGCGATTGCATTGCGAAAGAAAAGGTGTGGAATGGATCAGAAAAAGTTGGTCATGTAGCATGTAGTTTTGCAAGGTTCTGGAGTCATCCAAATCATAATAAATTTGGCCCAGTCTTGGTAAAGTAACAAGCACTGTACACAGAAAGATGTATATGGGACTTCACAAATGATGTCGGGGCTAGCTTACCTTGATTTCCTTATCTGTATATGCTCATTACTCAGTCAGTATACATTTTCTTCCAAAATTGTATGGCACATGACATTTATTTGTCATCTTGAACATTCAGTGTAAGTTTCGTTTGATTCTGTGAGAATTCATTTGTTTTGTTAAACAGAACTCAAGTTTATCTTTAATTGAAGAGGTAATATCTGTCCATAGAACAACTAGTTAAACCACATTTAGAACCAATTTTCCATTTTGCAGAATGTTCCCCTTGTGAAGTGTGATTACAAAAAGTAGTATCTATCACAGTATCAGATTTAACATAATAAACATGTTATATCAAGGAAATGCTAGTATTTACAATTAGGGCCGATGTGCCGTGCTTTACGGCCTAAAACATTATTTGGCATTTGTTTGCTACAGCCTTTCGATTATCCTGCTCATAGCTAGAAGGGCGTTAACTCTTTGTTATAGTATGATGAGTGAACGCCCTTCTGACTTCAGACAGTCTATTTACAAATAGCCGACTCAGTCGAATATATTTTATACAATGACAACGCTAAAAGGATAAATATAAGACACACTCATAGACAATATAATTATAAGTTCAAAATATTTATAGATAAAACAGAAGGCAAGCCGAAGGATAATTTTTAATGAAAAAAAATATTTCAAAAACAATGCTGATGCTGCTGATGCTGCTGCATGATTATATTTAAATATAATATGATAAAGATGATAAAGAAATTAATCATTATCATCCTCATGGTGGCTTTAACAAATAACAATCATTTTAAATATACAAAAAAAAAACTTTCTATGTTAAAGTAGTCGTGAGACTCGTTTCAATGACGTTACAATAACAGACACTTAACCTTATGTTACAGTTACAACCATGACAATACAAGTTATACAACGATCGCCAAAATGTAATACTCTCTGGGCAGACATTCACATCTATATACAAATATTGCATCTAAAACATCTCAAATACCAATGATGACAAAATGGATTTTTATTTTGTTTAAGAAAAAAAATTGGTGATTGGACATAAGATCGACAAAGAGGGAGGTGCATATAGTTTCCATGCAGGTATAATGAACAGCGAGTTCTGCAGGTCAGATCAAGCATGGCAGCCAAAAATCATTGTCAGTTACAACGCATCACACAATGAACAGAGTCAGAGATTTTCGGGCTGAAGACTAATGTCTACACATAGCCCTAAATAGCTGACAAGGCAGTTACGTGTAAACAGCACACTGAGCAGCGACATTTAAAACAAAATTAAAATTACGGTCTATTCTAGCAGACTAGCTGAATTTGTCTTCAGTAGATATCAAGTTGGAACACTTCTTCCTCGAGTATAAATTATGCAATATTCCTACCTAATAGTTGGGCTCTCAGACGGAGAGGCGTTGTGGCGTGCGCCTGTAATCCAGCTAATAGTGGAAGTTACAAACTGATTCAGCCGAAGACGTAGGTTCGAAACTGAGTCACGTCTTTCGGATGGTGACGTTAAAGGTCGGACCCCAGACGTAAATAATCATATATGATTGATATACACGTCTGTAAAAACCCAATTACACACACACCTCCTAATATTGGTTCCACATTTTCCCAATTTCCATTCACCAAATTCAGGAAATAATAGTAGGCCTACTTGTATGTCATTGGTTGGTTCATACACACTATATCACAACAACGTACGAATTTGGTCTCACACACATATTTTTTTGGCGGGAAAGTAGAATTGATTAAGTACCCTTGCTTGGAGTCAGTTGATGGTAGAAATTAACTATGTTGATGGGATGGGATCCCTCTTCATCAAATAATTATTGCAGCAAGTAGATATTTGAACACACAGATGTTCAAGGGGGTACGGTTGAATTGTTCAGTTGATAAAGGAATGCCTACCCTTGTATAGAATCAGCTGGTGGAAGATTGTAACCATGGTGATAACTTATCACCATTGTTACGATCTTCCACCAACTAAAGATTCGTTCTTCATCAATTAATGCAGCATCAAGTGGATTTTGTCACCCGAGTATTTTTTGGCAGAAATGTGGAATTGCTGAAACACCTTTGGCATCAGTTGATGGTATGTTGTACTCTCCGAATCTACAGGAGTGGAAGGAGTGAAAATTTATAACAGGGATCCTTTCAGTTTAGAGTGCTAATCCACGCTCAAATGAGTGAAATCCACTCTTAAAAGCAGAGAAAACTACTCCAAGTAGTGGTTTTGGGTTAATCATTTGAGAGTGGAACTTACAGTACTGAACATGGATTTCTCTTAAAAGGGTGGATTTCCACTCCTACATGTCACGCAATCGCAAAGGTTTTCAAAAAATCAACCTAAAGTAATTGTCCATTACAAAATATTAAACGTGCGAACATTGCAGGAACGTATTATGTAAACCGATAATGATTACAATGGAACGTACAATAGAGTTTCGAAGTTGCCTTTGGGGATTTCTCGAAAGTCCTTTGACATCGGTTTTCATTTATTTAGTTTAGTTTAGTTAGTTTAATGAGTAACCATAGTGATGGGGTGGAGTAGATCTTCATCCATTGAACTCGGAGATGATGGCGTAGAAGGTGAGAAGGAGACCGCCAATCTAAGAAGAAGAACAGAGGAAAAGAGATTTTTTTAAAATATATATTTTGTTATCCTTTCTCATCAGAATTTAGCGTATCTTTTTTTTCTTCAATTTTTCTCTGTCACAAGAGTCTCCTTATTTTAGATCTTGTTTTAATTTCCCCCGTTTTTCTTTGCACCCTTTTGCTTAATTCGAATCCGTTTTTCCCCCATCTATTTCGTACACTACCCCACCCCAGACTATCTGTGTGTGTGTGTGTGTGTGTGTGTGTGTGTGTCTCTCTCTCTCTTTCTCTTTCTCTTTATCCCACTGTCTCGTACAAACACACAAATACACTGTTTCTTGATATTTCAAGGTAGGCCTGTATTTCTCTGTTTGATATTCCCTCTCCTAATCGTCACGATCCCTTGTACTGCAATAATACATAACTTTCTTCGTAATTTGATTTGTACTTACCGTTAAGATGAACGGTTTTGTAATGGTAACCAAGTCGAATATCGTGTATCCTATGGGATCACCGCTCACTCTGTTCAGGAATACATTCATCTGAAGAAAAAAAACATTTAAAATATTTCAGGAATACATTCATCTGAAAGAAACATTCGAAAAATGACTTAGGTCAAAAAGGGGGAACTGCAGCTATTTTTTTTTTATTTTTATTTTTATTTTTTTTTTTGGGGGGGGGGGGGGGGGGGGTAATAACAAGCAATAAGCAAATGAGAGAAAAAGATCGGTGAAATTTTAAGGAAAATCCTATGTCAAAAAGTAAGAACGTTGTGAAATTCTAAAGGTGTTGTCGATCGCACACAGATTCTGGAACGGACCTGGGCTAAATTTCTCTGTCAAGTTTGCTCTTGGCCAATCATTTTCCAAGATTTTAGTAGCTTATAACAGTTATTGTAACTTGTTATTGATATCCAGTTTTATGGAACAGGGCCCTGGTTCAAGCAATGAACACTTGCCTGGAGTGACGTAAGGGACTGTAGGTACTGGGGATTCCCTAGCGTTTGAAAGGAAACATAAAATGGATGTTAGAAATATTGTAATCATTTTATATGCGTATTATAGAATAAATTAATCAATCAATCAACGAATAAAGTTGTTATTTGGGGGGAAAGGAAAATGCAAGAAGTTTGAAACAAAGGTAAAGGTGACTGGTTTGTTAACCTTCTTTATTTTTCTAGAAGACGAGGAAATGTTCTTACCTGCATGATTTCCTCGTTCGTGATGTTCCATAGATTGACCAAGAAGAGTCTTTCTCTGGGATCATGTGCCTGTCAAGATGAAAGAGATGAGGAGGTAGAGTTAAATCGTTAAACAAGGAGAGGGAAGAAGATAGAGGGGGAGAGGGAAAGAGAAAGAAAGAGAGAGAGGATAAAAAGGCGCCTATCGTCAAAAATATTTCATAAAATTTCTAATTATTCATATCTATCTACTTATATTGGCTTTCCTACTATGGTATAATTCTTGTTTCAGAGCTACATGCAAGAACAGCCCAATCCAAGGCGTCATTGGTAGTTGCCAAGCGTAACGTTAACTGAAATTGTCTTTGCAACAATTGTATTAGTTGAGGCAATGTTCCATTTTACTATAAAATTACTGGGAAGGATGCGAGGGCATATTGTTAGTAAGAACCATTTGTAGTAGGATTCATCAAGTCTTTACCTTCATATCACTATGAAGTTGAACACACGATCTATGCGCAACAACATTGGTTTATTTTATTTCGTGATAGATGGAGGTACGTCCAGCTTCCCAAAATAATGGAATCTTGTTTGTCATTGCACCTTTCTTTGTCAAACGTATGTATCCATCATTCTACTGTTTTCTGCTTTGAGAAAAATTGAACAAAGACTTCGTTTGAAAAGAGAAAAGTCTTTACCTTTGTACTTGAAATAGCTGCGATCCAAGACACGATGATGACGTTGATGAAGATGTTAATCATCCACGTCCAGTAAAAGAACCACCCTGACAATCCCAGCTCGTAAGAGGGCGAAGTGATGATTCGGTACAACAAGAACACCGCCAGTGGAGCCATAGTCGCGTAGGTCACCAGGTTGACATAGGTAAACAGACCGTCGTTGGATGTGTCTAACGCCGTACACAGCGCTTCGTGCTGTCTTCGGAGAACTTCGAAATCTTTCGGGAAGCACCCGTCGATTCGGGCTTTGCGCAAGGACTTCTCGATTCGCAGATCGAGTTTGACGAATTGCCTGGAGAGGATGATGCAGATGAGAACGAAGAAGAGAAGAGGGAAGATCCAGGCGGCGAAGTTGAAGAGGAAGATGATTCCGAAGAGGACGTGGAGCGGGGAGCTGTAGTACATGGGTGCGATGAAGACGAGGCTGTTGTTGCGGAAGGTCTCGATGGGGAGATAGGCGTTGGCAGCCTGGTTGAGGCAGTGAATGACGACGAAGATGATGGCGACGATGGTACACGCCCAGCTGGCTCTTTTCAGCCACTTCTTATCCACAGCCGTCACAGGGTTGCTCTGAATGGCCGACTCGAAGTGATGAAAGAATATGGATACTTTATTCTTTTTGGACAAACAGTAGAAGAAGACGGAGGAGTTGAGGGCGCACTGCAGGGTGAAGATGGAGAAGATGACCTTAGGGACGATCTTGATTGGATCACGGTAAGATCCGATGAAGAAAGCTGGAGCGTACCGGAGAGTGTTGAACCACAGCAAAATCTGAGCCAGGATGCAATAGTTCTTCTGGTTAAAGATCTTCTTGAACCTAGTCTTTGGTGGGGGATTATGTAGAGGATCAACAACATATCCGTGCCAAAGACCAAAGAACGCCATGCATTTAATGAGTGGTCCTAGGAGAGCGTAGAACTCCATGTCGATGTCTTTCATGTAGTCTAGAGAGCTCAGGCCCTTTTCATTCTCTTCAATTTCCATTGACACCGTCATTTCCAATGGCCTTTTCGTCGTCTCTGTCGTCTGTCGCTTCGCGAGCGGGGTTCCATGGAGTGGTGTTCCATTGGATGTTTTTAAGGGCGGTAATTCGAAACCTTCGTGGGTCATAGAGGGCGCTGTGCCATTGGTCCATGCGTTGCCCACCTCGTTTTCGGTGCCGTCTTCAACCAGTGGTGATACACTGCTGCGCGACATTGTGATCAGTGCTTCAGTCGCTCAGAAAGACAAACACCAAATAAGCCTGAAAAGACAAAAATAACAATAAAATGAGTACATGTAAGCAATAATAATAATAATAATAATAATAATAATAATAATAATACACATTATTTATAAGGCGCTTAATACTGGTGTCTCTAAGCGCACCATATTCTGACTAAACAATTATTTACCAAAACTTATAATAAACACACAATGATGACCTGGGTTTGATATGGTATGAAAGGATTCTTGTAACATTAATTTGAATACTTGATTATATTATTATAAGGGCAATCATGTTTTCAAAGAGTACACATTCGGCTAAAATTTAGCTTTAACGTGAAGAGTGTGTCTTCAGCGCTTAAATAAAAAGGATTCGATAGTAAGATCTGCTCGGATAAACTTGGAAGGCAATTTGAAATCTTTGCGGTAGTAGAGTCTGCAGTACTCTTACAGTATGGGAATGAACGCTCTCCCCTGAAGTTATGTTTTATGTTCTACAAGAAGATTTTTGTCTCAACACAAAACATCCACCCGGGCAGCGTTCCCGTCGTGAGTACAATATAGCCGACAACCTATTAAAACGGGTACAAAATGGGCTACAATCTTAACTGAACCTGTTCAAGACTGGAAGAAACGTTACACTATTTCTTTAAAATGTTGCGTTTCCACGAAATGTCGTTATTTTCAGTCAAGAATTTTACATTGAATACTAGGTGTCGGCAAATATCTTCACATTATGGGCATAATTATAGATAATCATAATTTATGTACATTTTGCTTATCCTCTGTTGAAAGTATTTTACACTTGTTTTGGGAATGCCCTGTTACTCATCAATTCATTCAAGACTTCCAAAGCTCTATTCTAAAACGAAGCGCTTTTAAATATTTGTTTGGTTTTCCAGATGGTACGCAATCTATCTTTAATTTTGTCATTTTATAGACAAAACACTATATACTCTCTGCGAAATACAAAAGGGAACGGCTATCTTTGAATTATTTTAAGAAGATGCTTAGACGTTGTTATGAAGTTGAGCGGGTTCTTTTTATCAGTATTAAACGCAATAAATTTGTTGTATTACTTGATAAATGGAGACATGTGAAACTGAAGTAACAATGTTTGTTTTACCCAAATATGTCACAAATTGTATTTTGTTCCAATCTATTGTTTTGTTCTTGCTCAAGAATGATTGAATAAAAAAATTCTTTGGAAAAATTATAAATAACGGGTATAAAGGTACTATGTCCCTTTTGCAGCCAATCTCAAATTCTGTAGAACTTTGCAGGAATTATGAATATTTCAAGTATGTCCTATCTGTGAATTTTAAACATTAGCAGTGTCCTAATATTCAAATTATGCAAGGAAACCCGTTTGCTTGCTAGACTTCACTGTCAGACACTATAGAGTGACTGACTGGCTTTTTTTCTTCTTTGGTAATAACATACATAAAGTGAGCTGTAAAGGGTACATGAGCATTTGTCTTCATCAATAACCCACTTCTTGTGATGGTCCAAATTATACTGATTGAATCTTTGCGCAGCATAAAACGTATGACCATTTGGTACAATGGTCTGAATATCAAGACTATTACTTATTGGCTCTATAGCTCCTAAGTCGATTTGACAACTAATAGTCGTTATTTTCCCACTTGAAGACATTTTCAAGCCATATTTTTTTAGGAAAGTTCTAAATTAGTATTATCTTTCAAATGCCGTTGGAATTTAACCTTTTCATTTTTTGGCCTGCAAATGGGACATAGTACTTTTAATTTGTCTTAGTTCTATTTCATGTGTCTGGTTGTCTCCAAAACAACTTTTACTGTATATTTCAAACGGGCTTGGCAACTATTTGCGCAATAGCAGATGAAGGTCATTTGTAAAACCTATCGAGACGAATGGTGTTCATGCAATTTTTGTAATCATTACTCATTAATGCACCGATGATACATTGTACAGAGTGCCGAAGTGTGACGTCATTGTGACGTCATACTGGCCAAGTTGTCAAGGTTGCTGGTTCCAAACAATTTGTGCAAAACATTGGTGCGGTGGTCATGCCAGGCCAACCCCATGCCCTGCTCAAGCCCATAGCTCGAGCCATTTTGCGATAAACCTCATGCGCAGGCTCTGTTGTTTAGAACCAGTAACCTGGACGACGAGGAGAGAAAATGACGCTAGCACTTCGGTACTCAGATGAAAGTACTCTTATCAAGAGTGCAAACGAGATATTCATGAAGCACATCCATCAATTTTAAGTGGTCTGTAAGTTTTCCATCTTCTAATTGTACACTACATGTCTTACTTCGGGTCAAACTGCGTCGTTACACTTTACATCCTCCCAGGCAACATCATTAAGTCGACATCCATACAAAGAACTTATTTCATTTCCTCGTTGATTGCTCTTACATTAAACCTTCAACACAATGCACGAAGATGTAATCCAAAGACAATAGGGGATTTTCGTTTGTGTGGATGAGGACGGCGTTCACGTCCTCTAACGATGCGAATTGACGTCAGACACCCGTCCTGTTCACTACCTTATAACCCTTTTTGTTTTAAGTCGACACACGTTCTCTACACGATGACGTAATGGCCCCGCACGCGCTTATTCACTTTCTCCTTCTTTCACTTCTTATTTTGTTCTTCGTTTATTATTCTATTATACTCTCTCTATTTTTCTTATGATATTCTTTGTTTTTCCTTCTTCCATCTTCTCTTCTATCTTTCCATTGTCTATTCTTTATCATTTTCTATTTCTGTCTTTCCTAATGTTATTGTTGTTGTTATCATTCTATCATTTTTCTTTCTATCTTTCCTCATATTATTCTTTGTTTCTTCCTTCTATGATCTTCTCTTAAGTTATTCTTTGTTTTTATCATTCTATCACTTTCTCTTTTTGTATTTCCTTATGTTATTCTTTGTTTTTTCCTTCTTTCACCTTCTCTTTCTGTCTTTCCTTATGTTATTCTTTGTTTTTTCCCTTCTTTCACTTTCTCTTTCTGTCTTTCCTTATGTTATCCTTTGTTTTTTTCCTTCTTTCACCTTCTCTTTCTGTCTTTCCTTATGTTATTCTTTGTTTTATCCTTCTTTCACTTTCTCTTCAGTCTTTCCTTATGTTGTTCTTTGTTTTTTCCTTCTTTCACCTTCTCTTTCTGTCTTTCCTTATGTTATTCTTTGTTTTTTCCTTCTTTCACCTTCTCTTTCTGTCTTTCCTTATGTTATTCTTTGTTTTTTCCCTTCTTTCACCTTCTCTTTCTGTCTTTCCTTATGTTATTCTTTGTTTTTTTCCTTCTTTCACCTTCTCTTTCTGTCTTTCCTTATGTTATTCTTTGTTTTTTTCCTTCTTTCACCTTCTCTTTCTGTCTTTCCTTATGTTATTCTTTGTTTTTTCCTTCCTTCACTTTCTCTTTCTGTCTTTTCTTATGTTATTCTTTGTTTTCCCTTCTTTCACCTTCTCTTTCTGTCTTTCCTTATGTTATTCTTTGTTTTTTTTCCTTCTTTCACCTTCTCTTTCTGTCTTTCCTTATGTTATTCTTTGTTTTTTCCTTCCTTCACTTTCTCTTTCTGTCTTTTCTTATGTTATTCTTTGTTTTCCCTTCTTTCACCTTCTCTTTCTGTCTTTCCTTATGTTATTCTTTGTTTTTTTTCCTTCTTTCACCTTCTCTTTCTGTCTTTCCTTATGTTATTCTTTGTTTTTTTCCTTCTTTCACCTTCTCTTTCTGTCTTTCCTTATGTTAGCCTTTGTTTTTTCCTTCAATCATCTTCTCTTATGTTATTCTTTGTTTTTATCATTCTATCACTTCTCTTTCTGTCTTTCCTTATGTTATTCTTTGTTTTTTCCTTCCTTCACTTTCTCTTTCTGTCTTTTCTCATGTTATTCTTTGTTTTCCCTTCTTTCACCTTCTCTTTCTGTCTTTCCTTATGTTATTCTTTGTTTTTTTTTCCTTCTTTCACTTCTCTTTCTGTCTTTCCTTATGTTATTTTTGTTTTTTCCTTCCTTCACTTTCTCCTTCTGTCTTTTCTTATGTTATTCTTTGTTTTCCCTTCTTTCACCTTCTCTTTCTGTCTTTCCTTATGTTATTCTTTGTTTTTTTTTCCTTCTTTCACCTTCTCTTTCTGTCTTTCCTTATTTTATTCTTTGTTTTTTTCCTTCTTACACTTTCTCTTCAGTCTTTCCTTATGTTATTCTTTGTTTTTTCCCTTCTTTCACCTTCTCTTTCTGTCTTTCCTTATGTTATTCTTTGTTTTTTTCCTTCTTTCACCTTCTCTTTCTGTCTTTCCTTATGTTATTCTTTGTTTTTTTCCTTCTTTCACTTCTCTTTCTGTCTTTCCTTATGTTATTCTTTGTTTTTTTTCCTTCTTTCACCTTCTCTTTCTGTCTTTCCTTATGTTATTCTTTGTTTTTTTCCTTCTTACACTTTCTCTTCAGTCTTTCCTTATGTTATTCTTTGTTTTTTCCCTTCTTTCACCTTCTCTTTCTGTCTTTCCTTATGTTAGCCTTTGTTTTTTCCTTCTATCATCTTTTCTTATGTTATTCTTTGTTTCTTCCTTCTATTACCTTTTCTTATGTTATTCTTTGTTTTCTTAATCATTCTATTACTTTCTCTTTCTGTTTTTACTTTCTGATTTACGCTGCGATGTAGCAAGATGACGTCATTCTGACGACGGGTCACTAGTTTTCTGACGAACCTCAAATCATCGATGAACGGGTTCGCAAATGTGGCCTGACGACGCCAGACGACCCGACGCATGCGCAGATCGCGGAAATGACGTCACATATTAGACGTCGACTATGTCGACGTGACAAACGAAAACCCCCTAATATGTCGATCGCACCCGTCTTTAAAGCTCTGTTACGTAACAATCGCTATTGATTCCATTTCTTTGATCGAACGTCGATCTATACTTAAGGACTACACTGCAGTAGAAGAAAGCCCTTCAAAATACAGACGTAGAAGTACATCTAGTTAATGAGGTTTGCCACATTAACCAACCTGACTTGGTGATGGTGGTTCAGCTTTTTCTCTTCAACATTAATGTCAA